TAAAAAATTTAAAACTTATGTGGAAAAAGACTCAAGTTACTTTTAAAAGAAAAATTGAGACTTCATCAAGTAGGACTCAACAGAAATCATAGTATCTTTTAAAAATGACAAAATTAACAAATTATGGGAAGAAAGGGAACCTTGGCAAAGATCTTGTAGTAATTTCTTGGGAGAGATTGACAACAATTATCTCAAAAGCAAGAGAATTCAACTTATAAAGAGAACTAACTAGATCCTTTTCCACATTGTACGGGACACACCAATAACTGGAGCCCCTACATTCTATACTGATACAAATAAATCAGGAAAGACAGGTTACAAATCAGAATATTTAAGTGGAACAAAGCCCTATGATTCTGTCCGAAAGTCAGAATTATATGCTATCCTCTTGGTTCTAAGGGATTTTAAAGAACCTCTCAACATAGTTGCTGATTCGCAATATGCAGAAAGAGTTGTCTAACATATTGAAACCTCTGAATTTATACCAGATGATACAGAATTGACTTCATTGTTTATTCAGGTACAAGATGTAATCAGGAGTAGGCATCATCCTATATACATAACACACGTCCAATCCTGTATGAGTCTGCCAGGTTCTCTATCACAAGGTAATGAAGAAATTGATCAATTATCGATTGGAAATGCTCAGAATCTCATAAAAACATCATGGGAATAGCAAAGGTTTAGAAAAGGACTTTTCTATTACATGTCAACAAGCCAAGGAGATATAAGGAAATGTCCTACTTGTTCCTTATACAACCAAACACCACTATCTGCAGGAAGCAACCCAAAGGGTACTCAAAGGAATGAAATCTGGCAGATGGAGGTGTTCCATTTTGTAGAATGTATACCACATCTTTGATACCTAGTCAGGTTTTCAATGGGCAACTATTTTGTGTTCAGAAAAGGTTGATTTGGTAATCATACATTTGCTAGAAGTTATGGCCATCATAAATATATCTGGATAAATAAAGACAATGCTCCAGCATATGTCTCTAAGAAAATGAAACAGTTTTTTGCTTATTATAATACAAAGCATACCACACAATCCTTTAAGACAGGTAGTTATAGAAAGATCAAATAGAGCTCTAAAGGATATGTTTAAAAAAAAACAGAAAGGGATGACAAATACCCCCAGAAACAGGTACATAATGCTTTATTAACTTTGAATTTTCTAAATGCTAATGAGAAAGGAACAACAGCTGTGGAGAAACAACTGTGGAATTAAATCAGCCGATACACTTTAATGACGTATTGACCTCCGAATAGAAACCAGGAGATATGTTAGGTTTGCTTTTGTTTCCACAGGAGAAGAAAAGCTATAGATACCATCAAAATTGATAAAGATTCCATTTAAACAAGATACACCTCTTAATGAGAAGAGATGCTAGTTCATCAAACATCATGACCTTTTTAATCTGAACTAACCTATAATACTAACAAATGCTTTTCATTTCATCAGATTTAACGCGCCAAAAGAGAATCTCCAAAAAATTCGGGTTGGGGAAGGGTTTTGTTTGTCTTTTCAGGAAAATAAGGGTATCCAGCTAAGGAATCTGAAGACCACTGGGCAAATGAGACATCTGAAGAAAAAGGACAAATCATCCAGAAAAAAAAATGTCTTAATAAAAAGAGTAAATTGGCCTATTGGAATATCACATTTTCAATAGGGTAAAATTTCATAAATCTTACCAGATGTTTGTTTCTGCTGTTCTCTACAGATATATAATTCAAATAGTTATTTGTAGTCACAGTCTAATTAAAAATTAAAACTGGATTTGGAGTTGGAATGTGGATCTCTCCTTCTCTAAACCCAGCATGCTTATTAAAATGAAATTCAAAATCTCTGTCTCATGTCAGAAGAGCCACCTGATATGGGACAGAAGAAAAACAAAACTTTAAGGATTATTTTATTGCTAGTAATCTCATAATCCTTTGATTTTATATTGACCCTTTGACATCTTTTCTTAATGTATAATATATATTATATTTATTATATATTATATATATTATATTGATTATATATATTAAACATTTTGTCAGGATGTTAATGGTCATATAGAGTACTGAGTAATTATAGAAAATGGTTTTATTTACCTTCCTGTACATGATTTGGGGTTTGAGTATCTATCAGTTTTCTGCACTGAACCATGAACACGCCCTAACAGTGACCTTTGAAATCTCCACAAGGAGGGTGGAGCCCCACAATGATGACTCCTCAGGACTATGATAATACCACTAAGTTAAAAAACACCACTTAAGGATAGGTTTTAGACTACAAAGTGTGCAGAATAATTTTGAGGTGGCTAGCTGAGATGATCCAGGCTAACAGACTACTCTCTGGGTTTTTTTGTTTTGTTTTGTTTTGTTTGCTTGTTTGTTTTTATTTTTCAAGACAGGGTTTCTCTGTGTATCTTTGGCTGTCCTGGAACTACCTCTTGTAAATCAGGCTAGCCTTGAACTCACAGAGATCAGCCAACCCCTGCCTCCCAAGTACAGGGATTAAAGGCATGTGCCACCCCCCATCCTCGTCCAATAGACTACTCAAGCCAGTACTTGAGACAAGCTCTGCATTGTCCCATCACATATAGAGTGGGCAAAAAAAAAAAAATGACACAGCTACCTTTCCCAGGACTTGACAATTAAGTCAAATTTTTCTTTTCAGGATACCCTAAAGATACCATAGCCCCCAGACATCAGGAAGTAAATTTAAGAATATGACGTCCACATTCCCAAGAGGTGGGGTGGGTGGTGCTTGGTTGTTCAAGGAATTATGGATATTTTTCATTATTTAGGGCATTAGTTACAAGTTACTATTGGTGATCAGGAAAAAAGCTAAACAAAGGAAATTAGATTCAAGTTCTTGTTTTTAAAAGAAAAAAGGGAAATATAGATATGATAGTATAAAAAGGTAGATTATCAAATCTACTTTTAAAAATCAATTACTAGTTTTAAATGATCTACATTGAATTGGACTTTTGTATATTGTATACAAATTTTGTATAATGAGATGAATTTTGTTAAAACATGCTGCACAAATATTTCTACTCTTGTTCAAGGTATTGTACCTATATAACTCATTTAACAACATAATGCAAATTACTAGTCCTTAAAAATTATTATTACCAAGTGTTTAGGATAATAAGAAAATGCAGGTTAGTAGTTAATCACCTAGTATAATCAAACCTGTAGTCACATTGGGTATGTTTTCAAGATCAAACAAAGATATATATTATATAGGCAGGTCATCTTCAAAGACTTCTGAGATAAACAGAATATGGCATTTAAGATGTTTTAATAACCTAGGTTCTTTTTTATTTTTTTATTTTTGACAATGAGATATGTTACTCCAGGCAGCACCAATCTACTTCAGAGAAGATAATGGGCACTAAAGAAACTTCACAGGGAGTTTACTTTCTTTACTCCAGGCAGCACCAATCTACTTCAGAGAAGATGATGGGCATCAAAGAAACTTCACAGGTAGTTTACTTTCTTTGTGGCAAAAGTAAGCCACTGGTCAAGAAAATAACTTCAACAGCTGACAGCATGCTGTCCTAATTGGACAAGCAGGACACAAAAGAAAGTGACTGCCAAACATTGCAGAGGAACTTTGGGTGACGGTCCAGGAAGCCAGCTGTTTCTGTCATCACTCACGTTTTTGGAAGTCACTTGCTTGCTCTTCCTGCTTACTCAGTTAATGTTATTTCCTTCTTGGGTCTCTGAGGGAGTTATAGGCTAGATAGTTATAGTTTTCCTTGTTTACCAGATACAGAGCACGTTATGATAAAAAGTAAATTAGGTATAAGACTTTGGACTCACTAAGGTAGGGTAGATATGGAGTATTTGTTCAGAATTTGTCAAATGCAAATGGACTAGACATTGTCGATATACTTATTGCCTGTATATTGCAGTTATTGTAATTACTGTATATAGTTTTTATATTAGTTATAGCCTTCTTTCTTATTTAAGAGAAAAAGGGGAAATACATAAATAAAATACATATTTTTCTTATATTTTAATAAATAAAGTTTGCCTAAAGATGAGAAGGGCAAAGCTAAGCCATTAGAGGTCAGGCAGTGGTGGTACATGACTTTAATCCCAGGATTGGAAGACAGAGGCAAATGGATCACTGTGAATTCAAGGGCACCCTAGGCTACACAAGATCAATGCAAAAACAAATCCCGGTAGTGGTGGCTCACACCTTTAATCCCAATACTAACTAGGGAGTCACACACCTTTAATCCTAGCACTAGAGGGAATAAAAAATGGGAGGACAGAGAGGCTTAGGCTGCTTTGTCTGCTTAGTGTGCAGTTGCCCAGTCTTGGTAGAGGTAAGACTTCTCTAATGACTTGGTTGCTTTGCTTTTCTGGTTTCCAGGTTGAACCCCAATATCTGTCTCTGGGTTTTATTATTCATGCTGCAATAGGGGATGAAGATGTAATGACTACCGGTTGATGGTCCTAGTTCCGGTTCTGTCAGGGACCCAGCTTCAAAGGCACAAGGCAAAGAGTGACAGAACAGGCCAATTGTTCTCCTCGAGCCTCTCTGTTTCCATATGGCAGGCATGCTCACACCCACACCAAGGAGTCAGGTGGAAAGGCCGGGATTGTACCATAGCGGCAGGACACTAGATTCTACCCTTAATACCAAGGGAAGAAAAACGTGGCTGGAGGGTTCTCACACAACCGACAGTCATACTTCACAGGCTCGGAGGACTAAGGCAGGAGACAGGCATCTCCACAGAGTCAGCTCTCGACTGGAGGAATCTGATCTACCTTCCTCAAAGTCTGGCTGCCAGTAACAAACTGGGATCATTGACAGCTTTTGGGCTATGATCTAGGAAGGATGTGGTAGTCCCTGACCTGCAGCATCCCCCGGAATTAGCTTTCTCTCCCTGGAACCTCAGCATACACCTCTCTTTTCCTTTCCTCCCATCTTGGCCTGGATGGCAGCACAGGATCACACACGCACACGCACACACACACACACACCGGCTAACCTGGCAGGGGCACAGGGAGGTTTGCTGGGCAGGCTCAGGAAGGTTTTCCTCTCACTGTGTGGGAAACAAACCAAGCATCACAGAGGCATGCCCTGCTTTCAGTGGTCGACTGGAGCGCTGCTGGGGCCTGTGAAAGGGACAAAATCCTCAGTTATGAAGTCCCCCCCCCCATGGCTGGTGTTTGAGGAAATGGGCTTCCTGTAAAAACAGTCTCAAATCATGTACTTATCTCGGACCTACTTTTCTCAAAGGGCAACGTTAAGAGGGTAGGATAGCTACACTGTCCTCTGGAGCTAACTTAAAGAGGTCATTTAGAAGCTCGTTTATCCTTAAATGCAAATGCACACAGGGGCATGATGATCCCTGATGGTCTTTCTTGACGCTTGTTCCTAGGTGGTTTGGTACTTAGAGGCCCCTTCCAGAGTAGTTGTGATTAGGGGATCCAGCTAGGGGCAACTTCAGGGACCAGTTTTCAGCAGTGAGTTACAGATCAGGAGAGCGCTTGCCCAGTTTCTCAACTGGGCTCTCAACTCATCAAGTAACCCAGACCGGCGGAGGCTGTGTGGGGACGCGGGGACAAAAACTTTTTCACTGCTTGTAAGGGAAAGAGGAGCAAAGCAATGAATTGCCTCCGAGGTTTCAGCGAATCCATTGCAGAACTGGCGCCAAAACCCAGGTCTTCTCTGCCTCCCAACGCGATCGCCCTCAGACCTGCAACTTTCAGCCTTGTGTGGCCCCACGGTGAACATTTCCATCCCACATTGTCCCCCTTACCCCAATCTCCCTCATCCAACCCCTGGCTTACCTAACGCATACCCAACGTTCCAGTAAGGGTCCCACATCCCCTGCGGAGCCTTATCGTGCAGTCCTTCAGCAGCGCCTGTCCCCTGCTAGAACTACATTTCCCAGGAGGGAATGCAAATCCCACGCCGCACACGTCATAGAAAGAGCCAGGAAGACAAGCTTCATCTGCTTTGCGCGTTGGTCAAAGTTCTTCAATCATGCTTTGCTAGTTGTTCCTCTAAAGACAAACTATTGGGGCGGAGCTTCAGTCATAAAAGTCGAGCTCAGACGGAAAGGACGCCTTCTTCCCTGCCCTGGCAGCAATATGTGGCTCACCGCGCTGCTGCTGGCCTTGCTGCTGCTCGCCTTGATGCTGCTGGCGGGTCTCCGCAGGGTTTACCTTGGTCTCTTTGGCGGAAACTCCCCGAACCCCTTCTCCGAGGACGTCAAGCGGCCACCTGAACCCCTGGTGACCGACAAGGAGGCTAGGAAGAAGGTTCTCAAACAAGGTCAGCTGGAGGGACTGTGGGTTCCAGGACTGTTCTCAGGTCTTCTCATGGAGGGCACGGACCTGTCTGCCCATTAGAAAAGTGCTGGGCAGCCTGGCGATGCTGGTATACGCCTTTAATCCCAGCACTAGGGAGGCAGAAACAAGCGGATCTCTGTGAGTTCGAGGACAGCCTGGTCTACAAGAGCTAGTTCCAGGACAGGCTCTAAAGCTACAGAGAAACCCTGTCACTCACCCCCCCCCCCAAAAAAAAAGTGCTGTGAGAACTCACGTCTTAGTATTCTTTGCTCCTGGGTGCGGGCACTACTCTTGGCACATTGGCTAGATCCAGCCCTTCCGGTTGGAATCTGTTCAGGTAACAGGTCACAATGAATAAGAGGCCTTTCACCTACTTGGTTCTAGAACCAACTTTTCCCTATGCTCCAGTGCAAGCTGCACTGTATGGGGAGCAGTAAAGAATATTTTCCCAACAAGTGGTTTGATAGGCAAAGTGTAGTCCCAGTTCATAGGATTAAAGCTTTATAAACTTGCAGAGTTTCACTACTGCTTCGGGATAAGAACACCACTCCTCACCAACCTGAGTAAAACACGAGTAGAGTTGCTCACAAGGGTTTTAGTCTTTGTGGTTTTGAAACAAGTCTCACTTTTGGATCGGAACTGCCTTCAAACTCACCATGAAGCCCAGGCTCAAACTCGGAGCAGCCCTTCTGCTTTTGCCTTCAGGAATATGGGATTACAAGCAGGGACCAACATGCCCAGCCTTCAAGATGCTAAAAAAGTGTTGGAGCTGGGCATAGTGGTGCAAACTAGCAATTCCGGGCTGGAATACACAGAGAGACACTGTCTAAACAAACACCATATAACCAAAACCCTCAAATGTAAAACCTTCAAAAAACAAACAAGGATCTCTTGTTTGATCTCCAGGGGACTCTTGCTTGTAAACTTTAGCCTAGGCTACCTCAATTCACTACTTTCTGGGGACTGACAATGTATTCCTGATCCTTGAGTGTCTACTGCCTAAGGTGTACTAATCCAGGTATTTTATTATTGTTATTATTTGTGTATTAGGAGAGGGGCAAAGATCTCATACTTGTAGCCTAGGCTATCTTAGAACTTGCTGTATGGGCCAACTGTACCTTAAATTCACACTGATTCTCCTGTCATAATAAAGAGATGACAGATGGTGGGATTACAGATGTGAGCAACCAGGGCCTGAGCAGCAATAATTTTTTTTTTCAGTCAGTGTCTCTCTCTGTAGTCCTGGCTATACTGGAACTTTCTATACAAAACAGGCTGGCACTAAACTCACTGAGAGTCTTCTTCCTCTACCTCCTGATTGCCAGAACTGAAGCTGTGCGCTCCACATCTGCCCTGGGCAGGGATTTTAATGAACAGATGTCTGGACCTAGTGGCACATTCCTGTAACCCCATGCTAGGGAAGAAAGGCAGATGGATCTCTACACAGGGAGTTCAGGCCTTTAGGGCTACACAGTGAAACCCTGTCTCCAGAAAACCCATATCAACGAATCCCGGAAAGGAAAGAACGAAAGGGGAAATGAAGGAAGAGAGCAGGAGAAACAACAAACTCAGGACTTGTGTTGGAAGAGCTTTCTAGGTTGGTTCTGTCAGGTGACAGCCACACCAGTGGTCTGTGTGAGGTTGATGCTGTGACTCTCAGAGTAACAGCTCTGAGCAGCCCTGCCTGCCCCAGCTCCATTGGCATTCACAGACTCTGCCTCTTCCAAGGAAGCCCAGTTCCCAGAGCCCCCAGCCTCCCTCCCCGAGTTCTTCTCTTTCTGTGTTCGCATTCACAGAAATGTCTGCACTTAGATTACAATGCCTGTGCTCTTGCCCTCTTTCTGGTAGTCAGCTGCTTCCTACTTTCTCTGAAAAATATGAAACTCCCCAGATACGTAGTAGAGATTAAGACCCATCTCATCACTGTTTAACCTTCCTGGTCCTGAGTATTCTCTGGTAAAATGTTTCAAGCCATATTAATCAAGAGTTCTCTGCTAAAGTGCCCTAGATGGGTCTGTCTCTCTTTCTGTCCTGTTTTGAGACTGGGTCTAATGAGCCCAGGCTGTCCTGCAGGTCATCTGTATAACTGAGGATGACCTTGAACTCCTAACCCACCTTCCAAGTGCTGGAATCATATTAGTGCACCAGCAGGCCAGGGTTGCCTTAGAGGGTTCTCACATAGTATAAGCTAGATACCTCCCCTCTGGCTTCTCTGACTTTTCTGCCTCCCTGCTCTTGTCTGAGAAGCCTGCCCTCTGTCTCCTCCCTTCCCCAGTATTCTCAGCTAGTCGAGTACCAGAGAAGCTGGATGCCGTGGTGATTGGCAGTGGCATTGGGGGGCTGGCCTCAGCTGCGATTCTGGCTAAAACTGGCAAAAGAGTCCTTGTCCTGGAACAACATGCCAAGGCAGGGGGCTGCTGTCATACCTTCGGCAAAAATGGTCTTGAATTTGACACTGGTAAGGCTTGTGTGGAAAAGGGTTGGGAACTTGGCTCTGTCTTTGGGAGGCTAGGAACGGGCACTATGGGGTGATATTGGGTATGCACAATGGGATAATTAGGGGCCACCTGTATGTTTTGGAGGTCCCAACTTCTTTCTGGGCATCTCCATTTCTGTCTGGCCTGGCAAGCATTGAGTGGTATATGTTCTAGTAGATTCCTTTAGAACGGGTGGGCAGCCTTCTCTGGGCATGAACTTGGCCAGGCAGGGAAACCTCTTCCTTACTTGGCACATTTATATTATCCTTTTATATCTGTACCTCCTTTTCTTTCCACCTCCCAACAGGAATCCATTATGTTGGACGCATGCGGGAAGGCAACATTGGCCGTTTCATCTTGGACCAGATCACTGAAGGGCAGCTGGACTGGGCTCCCACGGCCTCTCCTTATGACCTGATGATACTAGAAGGGCCCGGTGGCCGAAAGGAGTTCCCCATGTACAGTGGGAGGAAACAGTACATCCAGGGCCTTAAGGAGAAGTTCCCCAAAGAAGAAGCTGTCATTGACAAGTACATGGAGCTAGTTAAGGTAGCATGAACCCCAATCAGCATCCACAGTTCATTCCCAACAACACTGACTGCTTCATTGCTGAAGGACCTGGTTGGGAGGAACTGAGGTAGGGAGGCAGGAAGGAAGGACTGGTCATGTCTGTCCTGAATGCAGTGTACACTTGTGTATGTTTGTGCCCTGCCTGGCTCTTCAGCTGCCGCCCTCACGCTGGCCTCTAGATGGCACCCCTGGGGAGTCAGACTTTGAGGAAGTCAGATGTCCTCTAAGAGGAGCCAGACTCTTGGTTGTTTTTTGATTTTTGAGATAGAGTCCCACAGTGTAGCGCTGGCTGGCCTGGAACTCACAGAGATCCACCTGCCTCTGCTGGGTGTATGCCATCACATCTGGCTTCTGGACCGGGATTTTTGGAAGGAATTTGAGGGCTGAGGATTGAGGCTCATGCTTATTAGCGTGTAGGACACTCTGACTTACTTCTGAGCACCCCATAAACTGAGCATAGTGGTCTACTGTATAATGCTAGCACTCAGAGAGAAGAGCAGGATGATTAATAGGTCATGGTCACTGGGATATATTGGATTCTCTCTCTCTCTATATATATATATATCTAAAAATAATATTTTAAGCAGGAAATGGAAAAACAAATATATTTTCATTTGAGTAGGAAGAAGGAGAAAAATCTGGGGCCATGTTGTTGTTGTTGTTGTTGTTGTCATTGTTGTTGTTGTGTTGCGATGAGGAAGACAGTCTTGCTATACAGTCCTAGCTTCGGTGTATGGCTCTGGTTGCCCTTGAACTCATAGCAATTCTCCTGCCTTAGCATCTCAACTGTTGGGATCACATGCCTGAGCCACCATGCCCGCTCAGCTTAATTTTTTTTTAAAGATTTTTATTTATTTATTATGCATACAGTTTTCTGCCTGCATGCATGCCTGCACACCAGAAGAGGGCGCCAGATCTCATTACAGATGGTTGTGAGCCACCATGTGGTTGCTGGGAATTGAACTCAGGACCTATGGAAGAGCAGCCAGTGCTCTTAACCTCTGAGCCATCTCTCCAACCCCCAGCTTAAATTGTTTTTAAGTTCAAAACTTCAGACATGAGTAAGTATTGCTGGGTCTGCAGTCAGTGCCAGCTATAGGAAAGGTGTCAGCCTACAGGGGCTCCAGAGACTCACCCTACCCTTTCTTCCACAGGTGGTGGCCGGTGGAGCCTCTCATGCCATCCTACTGAAGTTCCTCCCGTTGCCCTTGACTCAGCTCCTCAACAAGTTCGGACTGCTGACTCGTTTCTCTCCCTTCTGCCGAGCATCTACCCAGAGCCTGGCCGAGGTCCTGCAGCAGCTCGGGGCTTCCCCTGAGCTCCAGGCCGTTCTCAGCTACATCTTCCCCACTTACGGTGGGTGCCACTGGCCCAGGCTCTTCTCAGCTGCTCTCACAACTTTTGGTCTTTCTTCCCAATCTGCCTAGCTGACAAGCCAGAATAGACCCAGGCCTGCTGGAGTTTGTGGATAAGGACTAAGAAGTCTGCCCCCTGCTGAAATCTGGTAG